TGCTTTCTAGCGCTGGCGGAGCGGCGGCTGGCGGCGCTCGGCGGAGCCGGGCCGCGAGGGACGAGTGGGTGACAGTGAGCCGGCAGTGCCCTTGCGGCCAGGGGGGCGGTGGTATCCGGGGTGCGTCGGGACGAGCGTGGCCAGCGGGAGGTGATCCTTCCCCCCCACTCGGCCCTAGCGAGGCCACATCTGGAGTGTTGTGTCCAGTTCTGGGCTCCGCGGTAAAACAGAGACATGGCACTACTGAGGAGAGTCCGCGGAGGCCGAAGGATAACATGGGATCTGAAGGATCTCTTTTATAAGGAGAGACTGCAGGACTTGGGCCTGTTCTGTCTAGAGAAGAATGAGAGAGGATCTCATGCATGCATATAAATCAAAGCTGAGTGTTGAGAGGGTGGTGCCAGACTTTCTGGTGGTGCGCAGCAATAGGACAAGGAGCAATGGCCATAAACTAAACCACATGAGGTTTCAGCTCTGTTGGACAGAGCGTGGTACTAATAATGAACTAGATGATCTGCATGGGTCCCTCCTCCCCGCCCCGCAGCAGTTCTGTGGTTCTGTGAGTCGTGGCTATGCTGGTGCAGTAGGGTGGCAGGGCAGTAGGGCAGCACACTCTGTTGGGGCCCCTCTGTTACTGTGCCCTGCTCCAGGGTGGGCATCTCCTGCTTGAGACTCCTGATCTAGCCTTTCAGGCTCTGGAAGGGTCCATGGATATTTTACTCATTTAAGGACAACCCCCCTTGTCATGTTCAGGATGGAGGAACTCAGAGATGCAGGAGTCCCATCTGCAGATCCACTTGTCCCCAAAGCGCGCCCATTCCACAGAGACAGGGTGAGGGTCTGCTGCCTGCAGCCCCCACAGTCGCCCTGTGACTCAGCAATGGGCACTCATTGCTGTGTCAGGCACCCTTCTGCCCCCTGCCCCTCTCATAAACAGGTTCCTTTCTCTCCTTGCTTGTGTTTTTTCAAAGTCTGAGTGCTGCTGCATGAAGTCAGGTGAGCAGGCACGTAGGCTGAATGCTCGGATGTGTTTGTCGGGGAAAACATCAGGCACAAGCCCTGACACTCTGATACTAAACACGTAGCTAATTTATGAAACTGCTTGATGTGGTTATTTTAACACCCTGACTTCTTGTCTGCTAGCCCTTTTTGCTGGACCTATTCCACTGCAAGCTATTTTTGTCCATATTTCGTCCCCCTCCGCAGTGTTTCTTTAGCTTTTTCTCAAGTGAGTGATTCTTGACCAGCACAGGACGTGTCCTTCAGGGGTGATGCAGGGGTCCTGTGTGCGACATTCCCCACACTTCCCTTGTTCCCACAAACAGACTGAGCATAAACATGGCCACAACAGGGAGAGACTCACAATGCCATGTGATAGGACTTGGATACCTGCCTTCTTCAGGGGTCATTTGAAAATCTCTGCCAAAATCCTGTGTTTCCTTTAGATTTCTTTGCTTAAAGGTGTGGGAGTTTTCCGCTCCAGAGAGCTAACTGGAAAGCAAATCAACATTCTCATTAGGGTAAACGTATCTAATTTCCACTCCTAACATTCCGTTTGTTTTTTTCTGGTAGTGTTTAACTGCTGCAATACAAGCCCACTCCGTGTGAGCTGTCCAAGTCTGTCTGCTCAGTGGAAAACAGAACTGCTGTCCTTATCTCACCACAGTGTCTGTGGGAAGGAAGACTTAAGGTACACCAACTTTGGAAAACAAACACAGGACACTTGAGGGCAGGATGGCTCCAAAATGCAAACAAAAAGTGGATTCATAAGCTGAAATCCAGAAAGTGGATTTCTTGATGAAGTATTACGTGACTTGCGGCTCTTGAAAAGCATATTGAAATAAACAGGGAATTAAATGGAGCAGAACCGTGCAATGCTATTTGAGGGGATTCCAAAGTGCAACAAATACAGTATCTTTTGGCACCTCTAGGATAATGACCAGTTGTGGTTACTGATTCAATGATGCTCATCACTTAAGAAGACTGAGTAACCCTGAAGTCTGCGTAAAATTTGAATCCACATAATTATATGCTGCTTGTTATGTTCCCTTCAATTTTCAATCACAAAAAGTATTTGGTGCTGTTTTCCCTAAGGTTTTACTTAACTATTGTCTGATGTGAAATGGTTGCTGTATTTTACAGCACAGATGGGAGGTTTTGAATAGGAGGAGAATTAGTCAAATTAGTTGTTGGTAGCTTGACAAATCAAACACCTCAGTCCTTACAGAGAGCTGTAACAGAGCTAGCAGCTCTGTTACTGTTACTGTGTTACTGTAGTGTTACTGTAGTGTTACTGTTGCTGTGTGCTTTCTAGTATAGTTTTCACTTGCTTGTTACTGCCAATCTGAGCTGAAATTCCCCTGCTGGGTGTCTGCTTCCAGCTGTTTTATTTTAGTTTGTTTCGGTTATTTTGTTTTGTATTGTGATTTGTTTGCTTTGGTTTTGGAAAGTTCCATTTACAACAATTGAGCCAACTACAAGGATGAATTTAGGCAAAAATACACGGTTTTGTCCATTATAAACACAACTATTTCACTGAACAGCCCCTAGCATCTCTTTGCTTTGGAAAAACAAGCTTTCAGATCTGGCAAGCAAATTGCCTTAGTTGCAGGGATATATTTTTTCATCTTCACAAAAATGTGACCTGAAGAGGAAAAGAGTTAAAAGTGTTGAGTGGAGCCTTCTTAAAATTGTACAGCCCTGTCCCTAGAAAGTTTCACCTGTACTGGTTATGTGTTACCTTGTGTTAGCCCCAGCTACATTCTCACCTGAATGTAGGCATTCTTCCCTGAGAAAGTCTGAGCTTGTGCCTTGCTTTGCTTATGTCGTGTCTAAAACAAGAAACCTCTAAGGGGCTTGTGTAACACAGCCCATCTCCCTCCCCTGTAACACTTTTGCTGAGGCTGCCTGTTGTTAGAGAAGGTGTTGGCAGGATGGACACGTGAAAGACCCCTCTCTGTGGTGAGCTGTTTTGTGCTTTTTGTTGGTCTTCCTGTATTAACACTGAGGGCTACTCATAATCGTAAGCTTCAAGTAAGCTTTATTGCTAATTGCTATCCCAGAACATAATGTGATTCCAGAAGGGATCTGGAATGGAATGGTGCCTCTGAATGGAGGGAATGGAAGAGTGCCTCTGAAATCCCATAGACAGAAGAAGTACTGAGATGGGGAGAAGAGAGCAGCTAAGCACCCTGAGACAGGTGTTGTTCTGGAATATTTTTGTGCAAAGGTTGTTCTCCTCATTGGGTGGGATTATGGAAAAGGAAGAGGAGACAAAATACTGTTCATGAAATGCAGGTTCAGAGGCTTCAGGTTTAATGATCTAGTTAATGAAGGAAGGAGTCAGTTGTTACGTTCCAGTACAAAAAAAGTGAATGCTAGGGATACATTCTGTAAGCTTTTATATACACACACATATGCAGATAAGCAGTGAGAAGGTCAGTAGTGTCAAAGTAACAGAAGTTTTAAAAAGCCGAGGAGGTTGATGTACAGACTGACGTACAGCTTTCTAGACTGACTTTGTGGGTTATTACACTGCAGTTCTGAGGTGTCACTTCCTTGAAAATTTAGTATGAAAGCTTAAATCTGGAATCATCAATCAAATAGTAAAAGGCAGAGATACTGTTTTTAATAATAGCTATGAAGTAATCTGACAGGAAGCCACACAAACTTAGGGCCCTTTCTATGAATTAAACATATATTAACGTGGAGTAAAGGCTGCAAAGGAAAAAGAGGTGGGTTCTTGGGCAGTGATTTCACAGGAGATGGTGCTCAAGTTTAACAGGTCACTGCTGCCAAAAGGGCCTCTTAATTTCCAGTTTTGTGTTCCAGTCTGTTATTTTGTGAAGTAATTGATGAGTTTTGCTCCATCTCTCCCAGTCCTCAATGACTGAGTCAACTCAGTAGCCTTGCAGAAACATAACCAGGCAGAAAAATTTATCACTTTTTGCTGAATTCATTCAATCAGTCATTAGTTTAAATTAGTTAAGTCAGGAATCTTTGCAAAGCATCAACACAAAGGAAGAGATGGGATTGCATGACCGGCTTGGAGGCTGGGGAGAGGCTCTGTAGGCATCAGCAAAAAAAAGTGAGATAACATGAAGGTGTGTGCATTTTCTTTGATTTGTCAGGAAACTTGGCCTGCAAGAAACCATTAAGTATGGCACCAACTGAAATTCTTTGTAACTTTGAGGAAGTGCAACCCATGATTATGGTTGGTCAGTGGTATCACAGGAATCTTCTCAGATGCTGAGTCCAGCAAACACTGAAATAAGGTGCATGACCACAGAAACCTACCTGTGGGCCTTGTGAGCTGACAATATCCTCAGTATTAGTGTGAGAAACTAGGTTCTAGCTGCATGTAAAGGTGGAGAGGCCAGTAGTAACAAAATGAAGAATGGAGTTGTGGTATACAGTGATTTGACACAGCATATCTTGGATTGTTTCTGCTCACCAGGCATAGTCAGAGGGCTGTAGGGTGTTGAGAGTGAATTCTGTGCAATGTAGTGATTTCATTTTCCCAGCTGAGTTCCCAAAAGCTGATAGATTTCCTCTGAAGAAATGGAGGTTTTTCTCTTCAGTATCTCAGGAATCCTTGGTCTAACTAAATGCAGATTAGGACCACTATCTGTTCTCTGCTACTGATATATCCCAAATTTTCCATCTTTATAATAAGCATGTGGATTTTAAAGTAGTTCATGAAGTCAGAGTGAAACTCCAAGGGATTTCAAAGTTATTTGAAGTGGCTTATTAGTCATTATTTGGTGTTTTCAGCTGATTGAAAATAACTCATGAGGATGAAAGTTTCTTGGGTCAAAGAAGGGATTTTTGTGTGTGTGTATATTTTCAGACCCTTTCCCTAATATTTGTTGTCCTGTGATAGACAGCAGATCTCTGATACCTCTCACCACTATGTGCTTGTACAGAGGGGTCTGTTCTCACCTGCACATACTGAGAGACAAGTTTTTCAGACAACTCACTGAAGAATAGAGGCACAGAGGCACTTGCCCTCTCCAAGATACACCAGATACACCAAGAATTACCTAAAACCTATATGTGCCTCAAAGTTTCCTGGTCTGAAAAACAGTTTGCACCTAGGGAAGCGTTAGGATGAAAGTTCATATATAAATGCCCTGTCCTTTCTATTTCTTAGACATCAGTTCATGCCCACTGTTCTAACTCTTTCTCTCCATAAACCAAGACAGGAGCATGAGCTGGCTGAACCTTGTTCAGGTCCAGTATGGGCAGGCTTGTGAACAGGAGTATCCACATCATAGGCATCCTTCAGATCATTCTCACACTAAAAAGAAGGAAAAGTAAGATACAACATCCCTCCCAGACGGAGGGGGTCTCTGAGATCCTAGCTTTTATGGGGTGTACAGAGTGTGGCTCAGGCTGTGATTTTGCAGTAACTTATTTCAGTTGCTGAATTCCCCATTCTCAGTCACTTCCTTGACCCATGCCTGGCATTCAGTGAGCCCAGTGCTGAGCCATGATGATAAATCATCAGAAAATTTAGCTCGCTGCTGACGTTTTTTTTTGAAACAGCATTCTTAGATCTGATCCTTAGAAATGATCCTTACTTATGTATTGAAGAAGGGATTGAAAGATGGAGGGACAGTCCCACTCAAACCCACATCCAGTACTCTCAGGGATCAAATTCAAGCATGAGCCTCAGTTTGGAGAGAACGGATGTAATCAGGATTTATAAAATCAAGGCAGTGAGTAGAGTGAATAAAGATTGATGTTTTTCAAATCCTGCAGAACTAGAAGTAGGGGCAGTCGTTGAAACCAGTAGGAAATTGGTTTAGAAAAGATAAAAGGGAATGTACTTTTTTATGTAGCACATACAGTGAACTTGTGGAATTTGGTTCTGGCAGAGGTTTTGGAAGCAGATGGGTCAGCACACTGGAAAGGAGACTAAACAGTTAAATGGACTGCATATTCATAGAGAGATGCAAAAAAAATTTAGTAGGGATATGCTCCCTAGCATCCCTAATACAATGATTGTGCGTGCTGGAGGAGAATAAAGGAAATTTATATGCCTGGCTTGTTCTCTTTAAATAGTATCTCTTCTTATTAAAGAAAGGATACTGGGGATAGCTGAATGTTGGTCTAACCCACCAGGACATCCTTTATGTTCTTTTCTGGGCTCTGCTTTTGTGTCCACAGGTATGTGAGGATAAATGCAACGTTGGTAAGAGTTTCTATTTTAATTTTTGAAGATGATACCTCAGGGTTCTCTTACTTCAGTGAGGCCTGAACTATAGGTCACTAACACTGCTTTGCACCCTATTAGGGAAACATACACTTTTAAGACAGTCCACATAATATCAGTGCTTAGATAGGGACTCTTAGACTGAGCAATAGCCCTCCTGATGTTGCACTTTCCCCTGAGATCCTTTTGCTTTGTCTGCATAGAACTTGATGAATACTCATGTCTCAGGAAAGATTTCGTAAGTTGTGATAGAATTTCCCCCCAGGATATCAGTGTATTTTGGAAATATTATTTGAGAGTCATCTGTTGGAAAATATCTAGTGCAGCTGAAGGAGAGAGAGTGCCAGATTAGACAGATTACTAGGCATGAATCCCAGCCCTTATTTGTATGAGTACTCCTTCTGCCTTTACATAATCACATTAACATCAGGAGTATTGCTTACAAATGTACTACTGAGAAAAAGTGGTGAACAGTCTTGGGCCCTCAAAGCAATGTTCTTGTTCCAGCACTTTCCTAGTGAGATTCTGACCTTTTCCTCATCAGAGCTCCTTAGAGTTGGTGCATCCACTAAGGAGGACCACCCACTACTCAGCAACCTCGGGTAATGATTACCAATCCATCTTTTACATCTATCAGAAATAACGTTTTTAACAGTTCAGATGTTGTTTTCCTTCCCTTTCCTAAGCTCTTCCCACACTTAGAGATACACAAGTACTGTGTTTCATGCTTGGTTGATTATGAAGCCAGATATTTTGTCTCCTCTGAGGGTTTTTCTGGTGCTCCTCCAGTGCAGATGAGCCAGGAACCTTCCACAAACATGTGCTAGAGGAGCCCCCAGTGGGTGGTGAGACTGGTATCTCATGGTAGTTGTCATCAGGCAGCGTGGATTAGGATATGTCTTGCCAAGCCTGCCTGGAGAAGCACAGCTCAGTGATACCTTAGGGATATTGCCTAATAACAGCAGTAACCTAATTTGAAAAAAAGAGAAAAAAAGCTGTCTCAATTTTTTTGTGGCTGATGATACCCACAGGAGTACCACTGGGAGTGCAAAGGGAAGATTATAAGCATCAAATGATAGAAAGTGTTTACATGTCTACTGTTGGGTACAATTACTCAAGCTTGGAAAAGATGAAATAACTTTTATTTATACACCTAAAAGAAGAAGCCAAGTTAAAGTACTTACATAGATCAACTGCAAATGTGAAAGTGTGAGATAAACAATGCCAACAACCCTGCAACATAAAATCCAGATTTCAAGCCAAACATCCATGAAGGAATAAGTATTCCATGGAAAATATCATATTCTTGCAGTCTTTCTGACCACAGAGTTACACTCATTATGGTAAAGCTATAATTGCAGCCTTGTGAATACAGTGCCACAGACAATGGCCTGTCAGTGTTTTTCCACTATAAACTCTCATGTGAGGTTTGCAATTTTGTGAAATACAATTATCTTTGGCTGGGATATTCAACTACATTCTCATCCCAGAAATTGACCTTTTTTGTGTGCATGTTTGTTTCCTTTACTGAGTTGTTCAAAGTTCATTGTTTGGTGAGTGTTCGAGCCTTTCTGATTGCTTGGCTGCTTATGCCTTATCTGTACTGTGAGGATGTGTGGGGAGTTTGCTGTCACTGGTAATGCATCAATGCTTTGTAATATTTAGGGCTGTCAGGCTGTTGCAGAGTCCACACTTTGGACCAAACTTTGGACCAAACTGCCTACATTTGTAGTGATGTGGTTTGGGAAAGTCAGGGCAGCAGGATTATAGCAAATTAGCACTGACTAGCATACCAGGCATGCACAGCAAAATGTGCTTTAGGGAATACTACAGTATATTATTACAGCTATGGAAGGAAGGATAATTGGCCAGGCCAGTTAAATGGGTAAAATTGTAAAGATTTGTCCGTCTTAAAGAAAAAGAAAATTCTGAATTGATGTTTCAAAAAAATCTCCTAAAACCTGTAGGATTAGTGAACCCCTGCAACATGCAAAAACCACTTCTGCAGTTCTGATTTTGATTGTTTGTCTTAGCTAAGGGTTTTATCTGTGAGACTGCGGTAATAGAGATCCAAATCAGCCCAGTTCATTTTTTTCACAGGTAACTCAGGGTGGAAAATACGGTGCCAATGCTGAGTGCTGATCCCCAGATTGAAGTTTTTTTAGTTACAAGTGCTAACCATGTAACACCTGCATATGAACTCCTGTATGAAATAGGACATCTGAAATAACCGTACATGTAATGCCTTACTTAAAAATAATTATTTTGAGACAAATATTACATGCACTTAAGGGATCTCACCTGTAGTTAGATGCAGTTCAATAAATATGAATTTATTCAGTGTCAATCAATGCTCTGGAAGAAAACATGAAATCCTTGTGCTACAGAGATCTCTGGTTGTTTCAGCAACTTGTTACAGGTTGCGGGGGAAAACTGCTGAGTTCACATAGTTTAAAATAAATATGAATCAAAGCAGTTTATTGCTTTATTGGCAGAGTGTAATTATACAGCAATCAGTGAACTATGGAAAAGAGATCAGTAATACAAATGGGCAAAGCATGCTAGAGATTTCTAAACAGTCTTCTACAACTAATCCTGGAAACATGCAGGCACACATACGCACAGAGTTGTATGCACCCCCTCAATTCATGGGCAGTATGGGTTACAAGAACACCCCCCTTCCCAAAGATTGCATATTTCCCTGTTTACATATCTCCTGTGGGAGATGTGGATCCTCTATCTTTTTACAGATCCCTGCAGTTCTCCACAAGTCATGGGCTGAACCACACACCCTTGAGACAGTTGTTTCCCTTCTGAAGTCTGTCCTGTTATGAGTTTTCACACTTCTTTAATATTTTTTTTCTGTCTGGCTTCTGCTTTGTGTCAAGTCTTTTTGTAATTCCCCAGTAACTGTTTAATCTGGCTGATGATCATCTTCTGTAACATGATCAGTTTGGGCAAATGCTGGCCGGGCAGTTGGGTGTGTTTCATCTGCAGACACACATAGATACTCAATTCACACACGTCTTTATCTTCAGGGATGAGATTACCTGTGCCATTTGTCAAGGGCATGCTCTACATCCCTGCCAGGTCCACACTGAGGAAGAGCCCTCCCTGAGAGGTGCATGGGCCACAGGAGCAGAGAGAGGAGCAAGAGGCATGGCCGAGCTGCCTGCAGCCATGAGGCCTACACTGTTCAAACCAGAGTGACTTGTGTTCTGGATGCATCCTACAGTAGATGGTAATGATAAGTGGGCAAGCAAATCTATTTCCAGACTCCCTTCATGCTCCAAAATCCAAAAATAAAATTAACAATTGCTTTACTAAATTGTTTTGAACACCTATTATGATTCTCAATAAAGGCGTCGTAAATGGGATGGAAACAGCAAATTGGATCATTGGAAAAACTGCAGAGAGACCATCTGGACCTGGAGCTTTAATGGATTGTAAAGAATTTACATTTCACACTCTCACAGTTTACATTTTTTGAGTTGATAAAGACATTTGGATAATTTTATTTTTTTGGATGTTTTACATAAAATTAAGAGCCATGATTGAAACTGGAACTGGAGTCAGGAAATAACCAGATTGTGTATAATGTGGTAAAGTGCTAACAAATACCCACGTGCTACATGATTAATTTAGTATAAATGCCAGTTGTGGATTTGATTTGTCAGCAGTTGGCTTGGGCTTTGTGATTACTGGCCAATAATTTAACTGATGATTTGATCTATAACAGAATCCTCAACTTTTGGGAATAAAAGAGAGTTGCAGTGATAGTGAAATGCATTAACTATAGGCAGAGCTGTTAGCTGCTAGAATGGGTACTGGTACGTTCTGGGGTCTTCATGCAGCTGATGAATAGCCTACAGTATGATTTATGGTGGTAAATCAGGACAGGGAATATAACCAAGTGACTGCTATTGTTTCAATATGTCTTCATGCAGTGTTTTTGAATTGCAGATACAGAGGCAAAGAACACTCTGGGTCTGTCTATAAATACAGCTGCAAAGTATGGCACCGTTCTTTTCTCTGAGTCAATCTCTAATCTGTGTTCTTGGCATTCCAGCACTGGGCCATAGGGAAAGGCCATCTGTCAGAGGTAATTGAAAATGGAGGCACTGACCATCTGTAGGTATTTAAAGTCTCCTGACATTTTTTGTGAGCTAAAGGATAATTCAGTGTTAGAATTTATATTGTGTCTACCTATTATCCTCTACATATTTCAAGGGAATGCATTATTCTTGGTCTGTTGTCTTTCATTTCAGTAGCCTGTCTCTTTATGTCACACAATCCTATTTTTTCACCCCTCTGCAGTTTACTCTTGACAGAAGTGACCCCTATAAATCTTTGTAAGCTTGAGAATTTGTAGATGTGCTGTGTAAATTACAAGTTACTGTTATTGCTGGACCAAGCAGAAGCTTCCCTTAAAGCCTTAAGATTTGACCAGGCTAAAATGGAATTCAGATCTGGTTTCTACTTTGCAAAAGTCAATCAATGCTGTATTACATTGCTTTCCCTATGGTGTAAATGATTTAGCAAATGGAAAGGCCAGCTCTATTCCAAAGAAAAGATGTATAAATGTATAAAGGTGCCTGCAGACTCCCTGAATGCACACAGCTATAGCTGTTAACACTAAATAATAATGTACATTGCTTGTGGGATCAAACTCCTGATTACATTAAGAAATTAATAAAGATTTGTAATGCTTATTTTACATGTTGAACCGTTGAATTTTATTTAAACATTTATTGGGTGTGTCAGCGTGAAGGAAACCAGCTCTGTCAGATACCCAGACACACACATAAAGTTTTTTTTTTCTTCCAGAAAAAAAAAGTTGGAATATTTTTGTTAATTATCCTTCTAATTCAGGCATTCAAATACTGTACATATGCTGAGCTCACATGAAGAGAAAGAAAAGACACAAAGAATTTTTAATAAAAATGCACTCCCAGCAGGATTTGAAGTACACTACTTTGAAATACAAAGCTAGAACTTTATTATCAAAGCTAAGCAAATTTTCTGAACACATTCAAGGTGCTGTTATGGTAAGTGAAGGAAGCCTGTGAAGTTGATTGGAGTTCGATAGAATAAAAAGTAAAACACATTTACGTTTCAGCAGATGGTTGGCAGAAATCAGAATGGAGCCCGTTTTTCTGAGCAGGTTCTGCATGCTCACAGACTACAGAGAGCAGAGACTAAAGGCTCCTTTTCTGCACAGCCTTGTGCTCTTTCTAGGCAAACACTCCATCAGTGTTAGACAGTGGGGCCCTGAGTATGGGATGCAATATGGAGCACAGAGCAGCTGAGTATGCAGGCTGTGTCCCAGAGAAGCCAGATGGGGAATATGCAAGGGTATTCCACCCTTTCCCCATGGCATCCTCCTCTCCTATTTCATCTTAATACTGCAGTGCCAAGAGAAGAGTGCAGCATGTAGAGAATGCAGAGTCTGCCCATGGTGTGCTTATCCCTGACACCTTAGAGTAATGGTGATGTTGGCAGTGCTGGCCCCTGCAGTGTGCTGGGGCTGCAGTGCTCTGCACACCTGCATGAAGCAGCATGATTTGGACCACACAGAGAGCTGTGACCATCTGCCTGCTTATTTTCAGAGTTGGAAGCTGGCAGCTGGTTGTAGAGCTGGGAGGAAGGTGACTTTGTCACCTCCCTGTTCTTGCCACCTCCAGAGCCTGCTTCTAAAGGACTGAAATGAGTTGCCAAAAAATAGCACTGAAAGACGGACTCTTTCTTAAGGTGGAAGTGTTCTTCTCAACCACCAGAGACTATAGACCAACTGGCTTTGGTTTCCAACAGGAAAAAAAATCTATTTGGATTTTAGTGGCATTTTTCTTCCCTCAGAAGCCTTTTGAGGTAGAAATAACTGCATGAATCCTGTGTTAGGATAATTAGTCTGACACAAACTAGCTATCAAATTCATCACATGAGTGAGTTTCTGAGCTATTCTTGGGTACCATACTGCCTCACAGAAGCTTCTGCTGTCTATTGCATTCCTGCTGCTGTTTGCTGTCTCCAAGGAAAGGAAGGAATTTGCACTTTTTAAGGGGTTGGTTTAGAGGCTTTATAGAGGGAGGAGGTAAAATAGGTTCAGAGCCTTCAACCACAGACTCTACGAAAGGCTTGTATTTCCAGCACGGACATGGTGCTCGTGGTCAGATTCACACTTCCAGTACTACAGTGAAGGAATGTACTTCTGCAGCTTCTAATGCTCTACCACTGTTATCTCTAAGTCACCATCATCTTCTGGGTCTAGAAGTGTCTAGCCTCAGCCCAGTCTCTCAAAACCTCTGGTGATCTGAATTCCCTTATTATGCCTTTGCATAGAGCAACATCTTAGCTGCATTTGATGACAGTGGTTTTGAAAAATAAGGAAGCAAATTCTCACTCTTGTTTATGATTTCAGACTCTTTTTGAGAAAAGGTTCAGTGCACTCACATTTAAATGTAACTTAGTGTTCTTCCTTCCTATTTTTGAAACTTACTGTGCATGTATATTATGGAAGACGGATGTTGCTAGCACAAAACAGTGTGCTTGTTATCTATTATACCATGATATATTTACTGAGAAAATTTCAATAAATAAACCACAGGCTTGAACCTCTGAACCCTTCTAAACCAGCTGATTCCCATGGTGGGTTCAGGAGTTTTTATGGATGGATACTGTGTTCTCATGAGAATTTTACTGAAGCTCGTAGGCTCGAAACTGACTAGCAAGAGAATTTATGAGGTTACATGGGAACGATCACATCTTTCATTCCAACACCCTATGAGTTTATAAAATGAACCCTTCCTTAAGCTGTGTTAGAAGAGTGTCAATGCAACTTTAATAAAATGCCTCATGTTATCAATGATTTCTCATCAGTCAGAACAGCTGGTTAATTTTACCAACTTTTCAGTTTTCAGTTATCCTAGATTGGAGAATTGGTTAAAGGTTTTTTGCTAAAAATTGTGGAAAAAAAAAGAAAGAAGGGGGAAGGTCATAAGTTACTAAAAGCATCAAAGAACCCTTGTCAAGATGGATAATAGAAAGGGTGAATAGTGTCCACTATGCATTTTCTTAGCCTCTATTCTGTTTATCCTTTTGAATACTCTCTAAAATTCCTCTTGTGATTTTGTTTAAATTTAGAACAATCTCGAAGTTCTGTAGCTGCTCATTATCCCACTTGAAATTTAACTTAAAATGTTATTTTGCATCATATAGTTGAGCTGGAAAGTTGCCTAAGCCAGGAATTGAGGTCTGTGCTAGTGAACTACAGAGGAAGTGCTCTAAGCAAGACTCCGTTCTGGGGATATTCCAACATTTTATTACATTGTGTGTACTAATGAGTAGAGAAAAGGACTGTGAGCCAGGAAGGGCAGAGTTTTAATCAAATGACTCATGATATGGCCTTCAGCAAAATACGTGACCTTGTAATTCAGTCATCTTAGCTGTAACAGTGGGTAAAAATAGGGGTTCAGTGGAGTGTTCAGGCAGAGATACAGTTGGGCCTGCTTCAGCTGCATTCAAGGTCTGCAGTTTTTTCCTCCTATGGAATAGATACAATGGGAAGACAGAAGATCTCCTTTCAGCTGCTCCAGAGAAGCTCAAATCCAATCTGACATATATCTTTTCTTGAATAAGAGCTTTTAAAACTGTCAGATGGACAGTTTTTGCTCTATCTGATTCACCTGTGAGTGATCAAATTTGTTGGCTATGGTTATGGATCAGGTGCCAGGGAGACCAGGCTCAAGGAGGATGAAGACGCACATTTTGAATGGTTGGTCCAAATCAGGTACATTGCTGGTGCAGTTTGCCCAACCAGACAGAGCTAGGAGACTGTCTGGACTGCACACTTTGGGACGCTGATGCCCAGAGGTTGTTCTTTAATTGGTACATGGTTGTTCTTTAATTGGTACATGTTCTTTAATTGGTAGGACTGCACACTTTGGGACGCTGATGCCCAGAGGTTGTTCTTTAATTGGTACATGGTATGCATCAGATTTCCAAGTGGCACTGGAAATGCCGGCTTGGCCACCAACAAGGTGTGGTTGTTTAAGATGTCACAGGCCTTGTTTTAAATCAAGGGTAGATCTTTGGTACTTGGCTAGTGCTGTGCTGTTGAAGAGCAGCCTGTTTCTTCTGCTGCTTCCTTCAGCTCTGTGTGTCAGTCCTTATGGCTGTCTTGGATCATGGCCCCAGAACTCCACCTGGGAAGCTCCAGGCTCTCAGCAGTGTTTGAAAGCACTCACTTGTCCCCAAGATCCTGTCAGATAGAAGGTGCCATACAGAAATATCAAGGAAACCTATTGTGTGTCCAAATATTTCAGGCCCTGAAAAGGGAAAAGGATTGATTCACTTTGCCAGATTTGGAACCATCAGTTTTATTTCAGTGTCAAATTACACACTGCATTCTCATTGTCTTTCAGAAATGTGGGGAAGAAAACCTGGGGAGATTTTGCTGCTTGCCTGATCTGCTTTCATACCTTAAAGACCTGTTGTGATGGCAGAACAAAAGGAGTTGGAGTATCCTTGGTTCTTAGCCTACA